CTTTCATGGGCTTCCAGGGTTCATATGACTGACGGGTGAGAGCGGGCCAGGTTTCTCACCTCACACTGTGTGTGACACTCAGAGAGAGCAAGTACCTGCAGGCTCATTTCTGGCGTTTCTATTCTAAATGATAAATCAGCAGGCGGTGGCCGGGCTTCACACATGCTCTGTGACTTCCCAACTCTGTCTTTCTTATTTTTACAGTGCATGCTGGGATCTCAGCAATTAGCAATGAGCGTTGGTCTGATATGGTAGGCATGCATTACTCATGTTGGGACTCTGTTTTTCACACACATGTACCGAGGTTTAAAGATGATAATTAACTTGTCCAAGGTGAAGGAAGCCAGGAACTGAACCCAGCCAGGTCTGTCTGGTGCCTGCATTCTTATGCTCAAACCATATTGCTGCCTTTTAATAACTGTCTTTAATTAGTCATTGGTCACATTACTCTTTCACTGGATCTGTACACAGTCTGCATTCAGTCAATGTGAAATAAAGAATAACAGTTACCAAACCAAGAAACACCAACATGCTAAAGCGACATTTTTAACGTTTAGTTCATACTTGAGACTTTTCTACTATACCTGTCCTCTAAAAAGCACTATGATGAACTTATAAAAGAAGACTATCTATCTTTTAGTTCATAATCAAAAGTTTTAGCACTTATTTAGTTATTTCAATTTAAATCAAGTCTAAATGTATCATGACATTTTTCGTCTTCCTCTGCAAATGAAAAATTGGGCTATTTAAGTTTTACAAAGATTTAAGCTTTACAATACCATTTAATAAAAAGATTTCCCAGGTTAAGACAATACTGCCAAGAAAAACATGGTTTTCCTTCTCCACCATAGAGATTTACTAAAAAAAATTTTTTTTAAAGAGAAAAATAGCTGTAGGAGAATAGATAAGTTCATATAGTTATATAACTGACACAAAGGGACAGGGAGCTTTAAGCTCAGAGAAAGCAGACAAGATAACTTTTTATTATAAAATTTTTTAACAAACATAAAAACTAGAGAGAATATTATAATGATTTTTCTTGTACTCTTTATCTAAGTCAATAGCTTGCAACATATATTATATACATGTACCTTTATCTACTTCCTACCTCACTCAATTATTTTGAATATAAGATATCACAGTGTTTCATCCATAACTATTTCAAGAGATGTGTATACAATATTGTTATGGATTGAATCGTGCCCCCAAAAGATATATGTCAACCTGGCTAGGACACAATTCTCAGCATTGTATAATTATACTCCATTTTGTGAGCTGATACAATTATCCTGTGTGCTGGAAATGTGAACCTCTATGATGTTAATGAAGTAAGATTAGAGGCAGTTAGGTTAATGAGGTAGGGTACAATCAACAAGATTAGATTGTGCCTTGAGTCAATCTCTTTTGAAATAGAAAAGCAAGTGAGCAAGGACCAGTCAGCTAATAGTACCACCAAACAGGAAGGCCCAGGACCCAAGGCCCTGCACTGAGCCTCCTGGGCCCAGGGGGAAATTGATGCCTAAACCCTTGGAGATCTCAAGGAGCTCAAGGATCACAGATATTAAAAGGAGGCAAAGACACTCCCCAAGAACTGATAGAGTTGGTACCTTAAATTCAGACTTCCAGCCTCTTGACCTGTGGGAGAATAAATTTCATCTTTTTTTTTTTTACATGCATGGTTAGTGTTTTATTTTTTGAAGAATGGTTCTAAAACATCACACTAAATCAGGCTGAAAGGTAAAGTTTAAAATATACTGTTTTATAAGGATAAGTTATAGCATATGTAATGATGGTTCACTCTACAAAATCTTGATCTCAGAGCATATGATACACCTCGTTGGCAGGAGCACCCAGGTATTCCAAACTAGCCAGTCATCGGTTTTCTCTTGCCTGCAAAGACTTCTCATTAGCTCCCTTCTGCTTTGGTTGCATGATCTCAGAATGCCTCTGCTTCCTCTGAGAGGTAGTCAAGCTATCTATCCTCTTTGCTTTTTCCCTTGCTAATCTCCTGGGTTTTCTTCATGTTTTACTCCTGTGAAGATTTGCAGGCTCGGAGACTCAGAGGGGCAGTTCTACCTTGCCCTATAGGGCTGCTATGAGTCAGCCTTGCCATGATGGCTGTGTAAATGATGTCCTGGGGGTATGATTGATAAAGTTCCCTAATATAAGATGACAATGATGTCTCTAAGGTTAACCAGAGACATATAGAAACCATAACTATATAAATGGATTTGGGGCTTGCAAAATTAAAATTAATTCTTAATTCTAGCCCCAATCTAAGAACAATTAGTTCTATGACCTGGCCCTGCTTGATGCTCGCCCTCATGAAGAGATCACTGGAGATAAAAATGCAATAGTAAAGTGTGGTGAAGAAACTAGATGGTGACCACATATGAGAATGGATAGCATCTGGGGTCTTAAAGACTTGTCTTCAAACAAGCAGTCATCTAAGTGAGGCATGAATGAAGGTCCCATGGAAGAAGCACACCAGCCTGTGTGATCCAAGTAATCTAAATAATAAAATCCAAATCTGAAGGAGGGAATGGTATCAGAACTTAAATCTGAACACCACTATGGATGACAGTGGAAGTCTTAAATCAATGAGCAGGGTCCACACAAGGAGTGAGCTTACAATGAATCCCCTAAATAGCCTGGTTACCAGGCAGCATTATAAAATCCATTATAGCAGACATATTGAGGTTAAAATGTAATTATCTTATCATTTGAAAACTGATTAAAGTTGTCTTACTTTTTTCAAAAGGGGAAATACACATGGATTAATCCTCTGGTGAATCCCATCTGATCATAGAGTAGGATGTGACTAGCCTTGGTACCATGTAGAATGCATTAGAAAATGGACTATTGCAGATGTAGTTAGGTTAAAATTTAACAACTTATCATTTGATCTCCCTTTTGATCCATATTTTCTGATTTCTTTTCTACTGAGATTTTTTTCAATGTTTTACTTTTTATTCTTGTTAAATTTTAAAAACTGGTTTTCTGTATATGAAATCCAGGATAAGTCAATCTATAGAGACAGTAACTGGATTATTAATTCCTTGGGGGTAAGGTAGCAGGTGTGGGGGAAATGGAGAGCTAATAACAATAGGTACACGAATGAAGAAAATGTTCTAAAACTGATTGTAGTGGTGATTGTACAATTCTTCTTAAGATGACTGATTTGAATGATTTGTGAACTATATGCCAATAAAAATGTGAAAAGGAAAATCATGAAGAAATATCTAGGCATAATGTAGTCAAACTAAAAACCTGAGATAAAGTGAAAAATCAGAGAAACAGGCAGAGGATAAAAGACACATTGAACTTACATATGAGAAATTGATGGTCTGTTCCACAGTCAGCCTACGGCCTGGATTTAGCTGCTGATATTGAGCTTCTCTATCATCTCTTTCCACAAATATAGTCACTTTGATATCCGTGTATTCCATATGGGGAAATCCATGTGTGTAATTGTCTTTTGTGTTGATGAAAAAGTTATTTGCTCTGAACAAGTCGTTGGTCTTGCAAAATTCTATCATGCAATCCCCAGTTTCGTCTTTATCACAAGATCATATTTCTCAACTCCTGCTCCTTCTTCTGTGTTTCCAAATTTTGGATTCCAATCGCCAATATTATCAATGCATCTTGATTATATGTTTGATCAAGTTCAGACTGATATTGTTGGTAGAATTCTTCAATTTCTTCATCACTAGCTTTTTTGGTTGGTGCATAGATTTGAATAAAGGTTGTATTGATTGGATTTCCTCGAAGGCAGATAGATATAATTTTCGCCCAGATGCCGTTGTACTTTAAGACTGATTTTTGCAGTGTCCTTTTTAACGATGCTGCTCTTCGTGATTGTGTTATTCCTGACATAGTAAATTATATGATTTTCTGATTCCAGTTCATTTCAGCTCACTAATGCCTAGGATAACTGGGTTGTCTGTCAGTTTGCTGTACTACGGTGGCTTATGTGTTGCTGTGATGCTGGAAGCTTGATAATTCAAGTACCAGGGTCGTTTGTTTGAGCAGAGCTTCCAGACTAAGAACAAACAACAAAGAAGGATTCAGCTGCCCACTGTGGAGAAGTAGCCCCTGAAAACCTATGCACAGCTTTAAAACATTGTCAGATACTGAAGGCCTGATGAATGGAAGCAGATCATTGTGGGAGATGGTGCTAGAGGATAGTCCCCTCAGGTCAGAGAGCACTCCTGATGTGACTAAGGGGGAGCTGCTCTCTCAGAGTGGAGTCAACCATGCTGAATGTAGTAAAGTCTGTGGGAACGGGGCCTTCAAGATCTTCATTTGCTGATAGGGGACAATTCAAGGTCAGAAGAAACAGGTGCAAAAATCTGCTAATGATCAAAACTTGGGATATATGAAGCATAGGTCCAGGAAAAGTGGAAGTCATCAAAAATGAAATGAAACACAGAAAGATGGATATAACGGAGCTTCCCTCCTGGCTTCCTAAAATTCTTCTGGTCAATAGTCAAGCCTCATTTTGGCTACTAGCTTCTTGCCCATTTGCAGATACTGGGAGGGGTGGTGGTGGTTGCAGCCATTGCTGGAGATGTCGATGCTGCTTCCCTAGAGTCTGGTTTTGCTTCTCCAAGTTAAAGATTTTATTGCGATGCATGTTTGTACCAGTTTTGAAATGAACATTTTCTCATTGATCAGGTTAATAAGCTGAAGCTAGCTTCATCTTCCTCATTCACAGTTTCCCTGCACAAAATGTTATTTCCTCAGAGTAACAGCGAATCTCTTTTGCCCACTTGTTAATTGGATCATTTGTTTGTGTTTGTTTGTTTTCTAAAAAGAGTTCCTTTTGCTGCCCATAGGAGGAACCCTGTGGATGAAGTTTCATTCTTATATAAAAACAGTCCTTTCCCACTCCCGTCGCACAATAAATAGCTGCTCCCTCATGGGGGTAGGGGTGGTGCATTCTGCTGCTGGGGCGAGGGGAGACCTGGGGCTGCCCGGTGTCCGTGTGGGCAAACCTGTCAGTCGTCCTCGCTGTCTTCTGCCGACTCTTCCGCACTCTCTGGCAGGTCATCGTCGCCCATCTGCGCAAACCTTCCAGACTGTACGTCCCACATATACCTGATGGTCACTTTGAACTCAGCCATCTCATAGCCAAAAAGCTTCAGGACGCGGGCCTGCTCCAGTGTCAGAACGCCGCCCTCCTTGCACACCTCGCAGTCAGACAGCAGGGTGACCACACCTTTCTTGAGGGTGGTGGGCAGGCCCAGCTGCCTCAGCTGCGGCTCCATGGAGTGCGGGAACTGCTCCAGGGGCCCAGGATCCAGGCTCATAGAGAAGGATGCTTTGTTACCGGCTCTGCTCGGGGGTAGTCCATCTCCGTGAACTTGGTGAATCACTCGTTTACTTCCTCCTTAGTTCGATTGGTGAAAAGGAGACCAACTTCACCCTTCAGCTTCCTGCTGACCTGGTGCAGGTTGTCTTTGTATTCAACAGAGGGGCTTCGACCGGAGGCCACCAGCATCACTTTTCCAAAGAGCATCCGGCTGTGCTTCCACGCATTTCGGATGTCCTTCCGCTTGCTGTTCCTCAAGTTGGCCACGGAGGAGATGAAGAGGTACTTGTACGTGTCCACGCATTTCCGAAGCTCTTCTATCAGGTTCTGTTTTAGTTCCAAGCCTTTCTTGGCAATTTTGGTTAAGGAGGCTTTCTTGTCACGCTTGGACTTGGGCATCTTGCCGCCGCCACGTGCAGCGGAAGGGTGCGCTGCCGGTGAGGCCCCTGGCGGCGCGGGGGCTTCTGGGACGGCAGCCGGGAGCTGCCCGCGCGGGCGCCTGATCCGATCCGCGCGAGACGCTCCTGCCGCCGCTGCTGCCGGACCACCACCTGCGCCGCTCCCACCTCTCACAGCGCGGCTGTTGGCACGTCGGTCCGCACGTCCCGAGGGCCCAGCGCCCCCAGAGCGTCTCGGAGGCCCCCAAGGCTGCGGCTCGGCAGGGGCGGAGCCTGCGGCCCCTTGTTTGTTCTTCTTGAGGAATTGCAGTGTTCCATCGGTTTTAGAACACTGTATCTATTCATCTGTCCTTTGTGGAATCGCTGATGGTTTCTCCCCAGTCTGGGGGTTCTCTTTTCACTCTTGTGATGAAATCTTTTGATGCATAACATGTCTTATTTTTATTAGGTCCCAGTCATCTATTTTGTCTTCTACTGTTTTTTCTTCATATATTTGGTAGTATGTCTATTTCCTGCACAAGAGACCTTAAGTTTGTTCCATTTTCTCATTGATAACCTTTGTGGCTCTGGGATTTACATTTAGATCTTTCAATCATTTGAGTTCCTTTTTGTATCTAGGGTGAGGTGTGGGTCCTGCTTAGTTCTGCAGATGGAGATCTATCTCTGCCAGCACCTTTTATTGCAAAGATTACCATTCTCCTATTTAATGGTGGGTTTTGTTTTCTCGGGGGGGGTTGCCCTTTTGACTACTGTGGCTGTGATTTGAAATTGGGTAGTGCATAGCCTCCTACTTTGTTTTTCTTCTTAAGGAGGTCTTTTCTTATATTAGATCTCTTCACTCTCCTTATTCCATTTCTTTAAAGAATGAAGTTGGAATTCGTATTGGAATTGCATTGTATGTATATATTGCTCTTAGTAGTATAGACATTTTCATGATATTGTGCCTTCCCATCCATGAACAGGTGATATTTTTTCCATCTATGTAGTTATCTTTTGGTTTCTTTTAATAGTGATCTGTAGTTTCCTTGTAGAGGTCTTTTGTCTCTTTGGTTAGGTTTATTCCTAACCATTTCATGTTTTGTGTGGCTGTTGTATATGGTATTATATTCTTGATATCTTTTTTTAAGCTCTCTTCTCCAGCATACAAGAATCCAATTGATTTCTGCTTGTTAAGCTCTTATCCTGCCACATTGCCAGATCTCCAATTGTTTTAAATAATATTTTTGTCAGGTGTTTAGTGTATTATACATATAAAAGCATAACATGTGAAAATAGTGAGAGTTTCACTCTTCTTTGCCATTTGGATTCTCTTTATTTCTTTTTGTTGTCTAATAGTTCTGGCTAAGACTTCTTACAAGATGATGAATAAGCGTGGTGGTAAAGAGGCATCTTTTTCTGGTTCCTGTTTGCAGGGGAAATGTTTTCAGTTTTTCTCCATTGGGTGATCCTTTACTGTGTTGAGGGATTTCCCTACTATCCCCATTCTGTTGAATATTTTTTTCAGGAATAGGTGTTGGATACTGTTGGGTACCTTTTCTGCATCTATTTATATGATCATATGGGTTTTTTGGTGTTTGGTTGATTTTGTCTTGTTTATGTGGTAGAGTACACTGATTGCTTTTCTAATGTTGAATCATCCTTGCATACTTGGAATGAACCCCACTTGATCATGAAGTATTTTATTTTTATGTTTGATTGGTCAGGGTTTTGTGGGGAATTTTTGTGTCTGTTCACAATGGATATAGGTCTTTAGGTTTTTTATACTGCTAGTGTCTTTCCCTGGTTTGGGTATCAGGATTATGCATGATTCATAAAATTAGTTTGGGGATTTGCCATTCTTTCCTTTAATCTGAAATAGTCTGCGTAAGATTGATGACAGCTTTTCTGTGAAAACTTGGTATAATTCCCTGAGAAGCCATCTGGTCCTGGGCATTTCTTGGTTGGAAGTTTATTATGATTATGTCTTCTATTTAATCTTTTATTATAAGTCTATTAATGTTTTCTATATCTGTGTGTGTTCATTTTAGTGGGCAGTGTGTTTCTAGAAAAATTTTCCATTCTTTTCATCTTATTTGCTTCTGTTTTAATGTCACTCTTTTCATCTCTAAATCTCAATATTTCCAACTTCTCTCTTTTCTTTTTTTAAGATTTGCCAGTAGTTTGTCAATTTTTGTAATCTTTTTAAAGAACCAACTTTTTATCTTTTTATTTTCTCCATTATTTTTCCGTCGTCCAATTTATTTATTTTTACTCTACTATTTATCATTTCTTTTCTCCTGTTGGTTGAGGGCTTATCTTGATCTTGTTCTTGAACTAATTGATAAAGGTGTGTTTAGGTGTTGGTTTTGGATTTCTCCTCTATTTTCAGGTGTGTATTGATTGCTATATTGCACTCTGATAATTGTTTTTATTGTGCTCCAAAGGTTTTGGTATGTTGTGTTTTCATTTCCATTTGTTTAAAGAAAAAAATTAATTTCATCCCTCAGTTGATTGAGTTATTCCCCAGTTATTTTAAAGTAGGCTGTATTTCAGTGTATGTATTTGATTTTTTGCCTTTGTTCCTTCCATCGTTCATTTCTAGTTTTATAGCATTGTGGTCCAACGAAATAGTGTATAGGATGTCAATGTTTTAAAATGTATTAAAGCTTGCTTTGTAGCCTAATATGTGATCTATTCTTGAGAACATTCCATGTGCACTAGAGAATTCATGCTGTGGGTTTTTTCGGGGAAATGCTCTGCATATTTTTAGAAGTCGAGCTAGTTTTATATGGGTTTTGGGGAGGAGGTTGTTTGTTTGTTCTTTAGCTACTCTATACCTTTATTGAGTTTCTTTCCTGGTGATCTATCTGTCTTTCCTTGGGGTGATTTATTGAAGTCAACTAATATTATTAAATGTTCTATGTTTCTCTTTAACTCTGTAAGAATTTGATTAATTTGGGGTCTTTCATTAGGAGTGTTTATGGTTAGCATGGTTTATCTTCTTTTTTTAATTTTCCTTTAATAATTATTTAAAATCCTTTCTTCTTTCTTTTTTCATCATTTTATGGAGGGCTCGTACATGATCCATGCATACATCCATTGTGTCAAACACATTTGTACATATCTTGCCATCATCATTTTCAAAACATTTTCTTTCTACTTGAACCATTGGTATCAGTTCATTTCCCCCCTCTCTCTGAACCCTTGATAATTTATACTTTTTCTTTTCATGTCTTATACTGACTGATGTCTCCCTTCACCCACTTTTCTGTTGTCCATCCTCCTGGGAGGGGGTTTTATGTCAATCATTGTGATTGGTTTCCCCATACCCCCTCCCCACACCTTCCCGTTACTCTCCTGGTATCACTACTTTCATTATTGATCCTGAGGGGTTTATCTGTCCTGGATTCCCTGTGTTTCCAGCTCTTATCTGTACCAGTGTACATGCTCTGGTCTATCTGGATTTGTAAGGTAGAATTGGGGTAGTGATAGTTGGGGAGGGAGGAAACATTAAAGGACTAGAGGGAAATTGTATGTGTCATTGGTGCTCTACTGCACCCTGACTGGCTCGTCTCCTCCCCACAACTCTTCTGTAAGGGGATGTCCAGTTGCCTACAGATGGGCTTTGGATATCCACTCCCCATTCAATCTCATTCACATTGATATGATCATTTATTCTGGGTCTTTGATACCTGATCTTTGATACCTGGGTCTGATACCTGATCCCATCGACACCTCGTGATCACACAGGCTTGTGTGCTTCTTCCATGTGCACTTTGTTGCTTTTTAGCTAGATGGCCGCTTGCTTATCTTCAATCCTTTAAGACCCCAGATGCTATATCTTTTGATAGCCGGACACCATCAGCTTTCTCCACCACATTTGCTTATGCACCGACTTTTGTCTTCAGCGATCATGTCTGGAAGGTGAACATCACAGAATGGCAGGTTATTAGAAAAAAGTGTTCTTGCATTGAGGGAGTACTTGAGTAGAGGCCCAATATTCATCTGCTACCTTAATATTTAACATATAAATATATGTAGATAGATCTATTTCCCTATTGTTATTCCTTTCTTATTTCTGATGAAATTATTTGATATTATTTGCCTTGAAGTCTATTGATCAGAAATTAATATTGCTGCACCTTATTTATGGCTGCCATTGGCTTGGTAATTTTTCTCCATCCTTTAATCTTCTGTTGATTTTTGTCTTTGTGTTTAAGGTGTGTCTCTTGTAGGTAGCATATGAATGGGTCCTTTTGTTTAATCCAGTATGCTACCTTCTGCCTCTTGATTGGTACATTTGACCAATTGACATTCTGTGTCATTGATATATGTGGGTTTATTGCATAATTTTGCTTTTTTTCTTGATTTTGTTTTTGCTTTTTATGGTTTTGTTGGCATGTATATTCCTGCTCTATTTCTGTGTTGGTTTTAGTACTATTTCATTGTACCAGATGGTGTTGTCCTATATGATGCTCTCATGGTTTTCGGCTGTTGTTGATTGTTTGTTCAAAGTGTTCCTGCTAATATTTTTTGTAATACTTGATTTTACAAATGCCTTAGATTTTTCTTTGTCTGTAAATTAATTTCTCCCTCATATTTGAGGGACAATTTTACTGGATATAGGATATAAGTTGGCAGGGTTTTTTTTTTTTTTAAGAAAAGTATACATAACACACTATTACCTTCTTGCCCACATTGTTTCTACTGAGAAATTTGTTATTATTCTTACTGGTTTTTGCTTTGTAGGTGACTGGTCTTTTCCCCCTATCTACTGCCAGAATTCCCTCCTTTTCGTAGAAACTGGAGAGTTGGGCTATACTATGTGATGTTTTTCTTTTGTGGTCTATCCTGTTTGGGGTTTTCTCAACTTCTTTAATAGTTATTTTCTCCTCCTTTATGATGTTGCTGATGGAAGGTAGACAAGGCTTTCTAGAGTTGGTCTGTGAAACCTACAGAGGTAGTTTTACCCTGTCCTGAGGAGTTACTATGAGTTAGAACCAACTCAAGGGCAGTGAGATTAGATTATGGTATTGGGGAAATTCCATGATTTCTTTATGATTTTTCTCTCTAAATCAGGTGTC